CACCGCCTTCAGCAGCCCCATGGTGAGGGCCGCCCTCCTGCCCACCCCCCGCCCCTCACCTCCGGGCCATCAGGGGCCTCTGTTTTGTTGTGGTGGTTCTAGGGCACCTACCTAGGTTGCGGGTTCAGTCCCCAGTCAGGGCATGTACAGGGGGCAACCGGTCAAGGGTTCTCTCACATCAGTGTTTCTCTCTCTCTCTCTCTCTCTCTCTCTCTCTCTCAAATCAATAAACATACCGCCCTGGCTGGTTTTGCTCAGTGGATAGAGCATTGGCCTGCACACCAAAGGGTCCTGGGTTCGATTCCCATCAAGGGCGCATGTACCTTGGTTGCAGGTTTGATCCCCTGCCTATAGGGGTGAGTGGGAGGCAACCAATTGGTGTTTTTCTCACATTGATGTCTCTCTCTCTCTCTTTCCTGCCTTCCACTCTCTCTAAAAACCAATGGAAAAAATATCCTCAGGTGAGGATTATTTTTAAAAAATGAAAGAAATCAAGGTGCCTTCGTCAACCACCCAGACACTTAGTAGGTCCCTGGGTCAGACCGACACTGAGTCGGTCCCTCGGCCTCTGGTCTCCTGCAGGAGAAGGACATCACGCCCGACCCCAAGCTGCTGGAGAAGGTGAGCGAGTGCGACCGGTGCCTGGCCGTCGCGAGGCACCAGCAGCACCCGCTGGCCCGCCTCTCGCCCGAGCTGTCCGACGTCTTCGACTTCTTCATCGCCCTCACCATCTGCAACACGGTCGTGGTGACCGCCCCGGATCAGCCCCGACAGAAGACCCCCAGGCGGCAGCCGTCGGGGGCCAGGATCGGGGGCCGAGTCGGGGGAGATAGGAGAGGCAGGGGCCCGACACGACGTCCCCCGCGTCTCAGGCTCCCAGCTCCATACAGGAGAGAGGACCGGACAGGCCGGGGACCGGGACTCGGGGACCAGGACCGGGGGACGGGCCCCCTGGACGGGGATCCTGGCGTCACCAGCCAGCTGAGCAGGTTGTCATTGGTTCAGAAAAGATTCTTCGGGGTTTGGGAATGTTATCTGCATATTTGAGGTTTTTTTTAAATATATTTTTAATTGATTTCAGAGAGAGGAAAGGAGGGGGGGAGAGAGAGAAACATCAATAGGAGAGAGAATTTAATTCTCACCCGAAGATATGTTTATTGATTTGGGAGAGAGTGAAAATGAGAGAGAGAGAGAGAGAAATATTGATGTGAGGTCGACGCTCAACCATGAGCCACACGGCCGGGCTTGATATTTTTATTATTATTATTTTATTTCAGAGAGAGGAAGGGAGAGGGAGAGAGAGATAGGAACATCCATGATGAGAGAGAATCACGGATCGGCTGCCTCCTGCACGTCCCACACTGGGGATGGAGCCCGGAACCCGGGCCTGTGCCCCTGACGGGGAATCAAACCATGACCTCCTGGTTCATAGATTCATGTTCAACCACTGAGCCACACCGGCCGGGCACATCGATATTTTTCTTTCTCTCTCTCTCTCCTCCCTTCCACTCTGAAAAGCAATAGAAAAATACCTCAGGTGAGAATTAACAAAAAAAAAAAAGGAAAAAAGAGAAAGGGGTGTTGACTCTGGTTGCAACTTCCTGCAGTGTGCGCCCCGCAATCCAGGAATCGGTCAGGAAGGACGGGCGTGCGGGTGGCAGCCTGGGTGGGGACCCCTCCTCCCCGCCTCCTGCCCTCTCTCTCTCTCTCTCTCTCTCTCTC